GCAAAACAATTTCACATAATGATCACCTTAGTTACCAATTCAAGATTCTAGCCTAATGTAGTGTTCGGTCGAATTCTCCTACGGTATTCAATTTATCCCTCTCGAGTTCTCATTAAACGTATTTAACTAAATCAATTCCATATCTCTATGAAAATTCTCCTTAGTTAAACGAGTTAAAGCATTAGGAATTCATATAGCGACCGCGGCACTTAGTATAGGTATCTCTACACGTTATACCTCGTTACCGAATTTTATTACACGTTCTAAGTTTCGAACTCACCTCTCAACTCTTAAGAAACTCAATAAATCATCAAATTAATGGCTAAGTAATTTGAAGAATTGTACACATAATAAAATCAACACATTGAATAATGGAAACTCAGAATTCATGAATTAAAATAACTAAGGGTTTCAAAAGATTACATTGTTCGCCCTAATAATGAATTTAGCTACTCATGCGTAAAACAATGAAATAAATAACAAAATCTGAGTACATCACCGGATTTGATTGATACAAAAGATGGAAAGATTAAGACCTTGCACCAAAATCTTCTTCCGCTTCCAATCTTCAATTTGAACTCGAATCCTTGATGTAATTCCTCTCGTGAATCTCTCTTTTACTTGGTGTTTTTCTCTTAATTATTGCAAAGTGTCGACCCCCAATTCGTGCCTCTCTTAGCCTCTTTATACTTCCTCTACATCCTTAGCCAAGTTGGAGTCCTTTTTGTGGGCTTTTTCGTAGCCCAAAAATAACCTAAATTTTTTCGCGGCCCAGCGCTTGAGCGTCGCGTCATTTGTGCAGGTGGCGCTTGAGCGCCCAATTTCTGTTCAATTTTCCCACTTCCAGGTTTGTTGTGGCGCTTGAGCGCCATCTTGCTGTTGAAAATTATTCTTTGTTCTCCGGCGCTTGAGCGCTATTTCCGGGATCTTGAGCGTCATATTTCTGCTCCATCCTTCCTCTATTTTGCTTCAAAAACCATTTTTTTTTTCCATTTTAACATTCTTTCAGCCAAAACACTAGCAAACACATTAAATTCGTTCTATAATCAACAGATTAAGCATACAAATGAAGCTTTATTGGTATAAAATCCGTGTGCACAACACACTAATCAAATACCCCGAAACTTAACATGTTGCTAGTCCTCGAGCAAACACATAGACAAAGAAAATCAACTACAGACAACAAGTCAAAGCCGTTAAGCTCAGAACTGAGGTCAATATATCACCTCTATGAATGACTTCAAAATTACATAGCAAGAATTAACTTTCATTTATCCAATGCAAATGGGTGTGTGTGTGTGTGTGAAAAATTAAGTAAAACGTCGAACATTCACAAGTTGGTTCAGTTTTCCATCCCAAATTGACAATTCTTTCCTTACATCACTCGTTAGATTCACACACCCCCAAACTTGTTTGTTTTTATGATCTCCCAAATGTGAATCCATAAGCTCTGTTTCATTCTTTCATGTCCTTACACCTCTAGCATTTGGCTTCGTTCAACAGGCAATATCTACAGTCTATTCATGTGATGATTCTCTCAAAAGTGAGTGTTCAAGAAGTTAGCTTACGCTGAGTGATTCAAACCCACTAGTTATCTAAAACCCACAAGAACTAACATCAATTTCACAGTTTTATTTGATCTCATCATCAATTTTTTGTTAGCCCTTTATTGACCTCACCCATATTTCGCTTCTTGACTCCTGTAGCGAGCTTTTAGTTGGTAACTCTCCGGCTTTTGAATGCCAAAAGGGTACTAGGTCATAAGATACCCTGCAGACTTAATCACT